TGCCCTGTATACACATGTGAGTTTGAGAAACAGAGGGAATAGAAAGCAGAGTACAGGGAAATACACAGACAGCGAAAGTGTGAATTGCATTAAAAGGAGTGAGTTGTGTTGACAGGCTCTACAGTAGAGGCAGGACAGAGGAGGAGGAGGAGGAGGAGGAGAGGAGCAAAGAAGACGGTGGCGGGAGCAGCAGCAGCGGCTGGTGATTGATATCAGAGATCTGGCACTGCCACCTGATCCAGATAGCCAGCCAGCCTCCAGCAACACTGAACTCAATGAACTCACTCAGCCAAGATGGCTGCCTAACTGCACTGCACCCAGTGAACCCCACAGCAGTCCAACATATAGAGAATAGCACATACTGTACAGTTTCCAAAGGGATTAGGTTGCAGAGATGGAGAATACATTTCAGCTCAATATGATTATGGAAAGATGCATTAAACAACAAATGCATTTTAAGAAAGGCAGACAATGAATATCTAATGGAGCCACTTCATGACTGTCTCCACGGTGAAGGAAACCATACTGTAATCAGAATATATGTACTACACGTAATTAGCTAATTTCACTCAATGTGTGGACTGTAGCAATGTATTTTAATACTGCATCATGTCCAATACAAAAATCACACCGGTATATCACACCATAAACCCCTGAATTTTTTCCCAAAATGTTATCAAAGTATAACTTTCACTGCAAGTCTCCAGAAAGGGAAAAACATTTCTTCCAACTATGCTGATTCTAATATTACTAGATGACCTTGTGTGATGGAAAATGGTGGTGAAATTTGAATATGTTACATAGAAGCATCATGGCAGCTTTACACTTGGTTATAACACCAGACCAACAAGGCTTTAGAACTCAAACATATTTGAAACCTTTCTTTGAGCTACTACAGTAAACTATAACGACAACCCATTATCAAAGCTTTGTGACTCCACCATGTATACTTGGTAACATCTTTCTTTAATTTCTTCCCTTAACTTACTTACTTAAGATGCACGATAAATCTAAAAAGCTTGATTCTACATTACATCCATTTGACTCCATCTTAAGTTTGAAAGCCTACAGTACTTGAGGACAAAGAATCACTGATCTTATATACCATTTCAAAAATAAGTCAGTAATAAGACTCACTCTACTTTGACACAGCTGTATCTCATCTGATTAGTACGTTTGCAGAGAAACACTTCTGTGGGACAGAGAGTATCAAAAAAAGATGATGTGTTGTGTTCTCCCTGCGTCTCTTTCAGTGTTTCTCCTACTCTCCTCCCTCTTGGCCATCTGTTGTGCTGACTGCTGTGTGGGCTGATGCTGGTGGAGGAAACAGTATCCTCGACTACACTGGCAGACTGTGACCTCTGTGACCTCACATGGGCTGACAGAAGGTAAACCTGGGGCCTGGGTGAAAATGAAGTTCACTTCAGATTCAGATTTTTAAAGAGCAATAAAGCAGCCATCGAATGTCTGGCGTCTGAAAAGTGAGCGACATTTGATGTTCAAACATGTAACATAATGTCCTTCCAAGGCTACACCTGTACCGTAGCTTGCATCTCACCAGATTTTCTAACATCTTTTATTCAAATTATCTTCTGAATAATTTTGTCCTTATCATTAAGAACAGAACAACACTTTTCCAATTAACGTTTAAAAATGTGGTTCGCAAGTCTGCTGCCTTTATAACCGACTGTGTCACAGATTCTGGTATTTATCCACTGCTCCTTATTTCCAAAGATACAGAAACGATGCAGTTGAATGCACTCTCCTCTCTGATTTAATGAGAGGAAGGAAATCATCGCCATGGTAGTCAGCAAGTGAGCAGTGAAAGGCTCGGTCATCTGAGGACACGCTGTGCTGTACTCTGAAGAGGTGACGAGCCTGAGCTGATTAGCTGCTGTTGAGGAGCAGACTTTGAGATCATACATAAAAAGCAGAGATGTTTGCTTGTATGCTTCTGATATATACACACATTTTATTGCTTTAAATACTCATCTGTATCATCTATATACTTGAAGCACTCTGCTTTGTTAGATGGGCTGACTGGATGGCGAAACAGAAACAAAGGAAAGAACTTAAGGTTACACTGTAAAATGTGTTATTGCTACAGAACATTTCATATTAGCAAGCCAAAGAGGAAATTCTTTATTCCTTCCTTCTTCTTTCCATTATGTACAAATGTTTCCTGTTGACAGCGTGACACTCCTGAAGCCAGTGCATTTTGGACATGTTGACTGAGGAATAGGCACAAACATACCACTCCCAGCAATCAGTATCCGCTGATTTGTGTAAGTTGATCAGTGTTTACTATGTATGAGTGTGTGAGGCAGTGTGCTGTACACATCTGTCAGTCTGATCAAATTATTCTAAGGGTTTGTGGCTTGTCAAACTAAAGCTACACACTCACAAAACATACAGAGGCCTGTCATAAAATACACAGAGAGGTGTGCATCCCTATGCTCGTACATAAATTGATTTGATTTTTTTCTTTTATTTAATGAGAGTGCAAGAGCAAGAAGCCATCAGCAGTACTTTGTGTTACAGTATGAATGGGAAACGCACTTCGCTTCCTCACATGTTTATTCTAAAGAACATATGACCAGCACTATAAAACCTCTGCACAATCAAAGGTCTCTGCATGCAGCTCTTTTATATGCATATGCATGAGCTGGACACTGCACAGGGGCGGGCAGCTGAGCACTTGCTAAATTTATTAAGTGTGTTGCCCTGGCAGTTATATTTATGACAATGTCCATATAAATCTCTGTTTAGGATTAAGTCTATAAAATTATGACCAAGATATCTGACCTCGTTGCTTATTTGAAGAAAAACCTCTGCGTAAGTAGAAATAGGAAAATACACATTTCCCATCATCTTTACATCTAATTACTGTTAAATAACTTTTTGGCAACAACACTACACCATACTGGAGGCATATACTTAACAGCTGTCGAAGACCAGAACTGCCCGAAGAAAATTCATCTAACATAAATTGAATAATTATAAAATTACCAAAACACAACCTGTTTTAGCAAGCATTCACCTGGGGACATAAACAAGAATGGAGAAAACGTATTACCCTGACTCAACTAATTACTAACATGAAGAGTCTGATTCAACAGGCACACAACACAAGAACTCAGCAGTTACTTAGGTAATGGCTGTGACACTGACTCGTTTTACAAAATGTGTTCATGACTGATTTAAATTGAAGCCTCAGAAGGATTTAAGAGGCGCATGCACATCTCTCTTTCATACAAAGATCTATTACACTATTTTTCTCTGTTCTCTTCACATTTATTTCACCAGTCTTTTCTAATCTTCCACCCAGTCAGTGGAAGATTTAGCCTCTCTTTTTGTGTCATCGCTTCATGTTGCTCAATTGAAAACAAAACACAATGTGCATTAATTGGTAGAAGAGAAAGCGCAGGGCCTTCCAAACTGTCAAAACACAAATGTATTCTTTTTAGTACAAAGGTTTTCCCTATGTGTGCGTGTTGAAGTTTCACCACCTTTCTCGATCTCTCTCACGGTTTCATTTCAGTGAAAAGGTGTCTTATGACTAAGACTGCAGTCTTTGCTGTATCACGACCTGGACAGTGAGTCAGCACCCTGACCCTGCTCCTCTCCACACACACACACACACACAAAGATTTAGCATATGATGCAGACAAACATTCATATTCTGAACACAAACACCCCCCTTCCCCCTACAACCTCTATCGCTATCTCTCTGACACACTGACGAACACTGGTAGCGTTGCGTCGTGACTGGGGGCGATGTGCTCCTCTTAATATGCACAGACGACTGTCTGACGATCACTCACATGCTGGTACAGACAAAGACCCTCCACTCTACTTCAGCAGTGGGTACCGTGCTTGTATACGTGTCTGTGACACAGTGAGAGAACGCATACTCTACATGTAATATGGAGCACTCAGGTATCCAACATGCTCTCCTGCGGTTCCATAGTGCTAGCCTACATTACCCAGAAGCCCGTTGTCTGTTATGTATCCATGTCACTTCCTGTTCAACAGTTTGTGTTACACATTCCTAGACACAATCACAGAGTCAGGGGGATGATGCTCATTGGCCTAAAAGCATGGAAATTCCCCTTGTTCTATGCCTGAGACTCTCCTTCACACATTCAAATACACATACACTTGTGCCCTGAGGAATCAGCACCAGCAGACACACGACCCCAAGAAGTTGTTATTTGTTAGACAAAAATATACAATGTCCTAAAGTGCCTTACAGTTGGCAATGCAATCATGACAGAGCTACAGTACTGTATATCACTTCTGACTGCTCCTGGTTCAGTGCAGCCCTGGTACAAATTACTTTTCACCTATCTCTGCTACGTGCTCCTCAACTATAAGATTTATTTGCCATTTCTCATTCATTTGGCTGTAAACAGGATGTGTTGTCAGTGTCCCCCTCAACTCCACCCCAACCACCCCCCTCAAGGCCATGTCATATGACTCTGGGACACCACTCAGGATTTTCTACACACTTACGACACCGCTACATTAAATAATACATCAGAGAAACAGAGCTAACTTGATTTCACAGACTAATAGACACACTGGCCTGACAGAACACTGTGCACCAGCAGTGTAACTACCAGCCTGGGAGATGTTATTAACTGCACACACACACATAAATATATGTACATACATATGTACACACTCTTTTTCAGACACAACCTGACTGAAGTACATAGAGGCTTAGCAAATAAACAGCCTGACAAGCTTATAATAAAGAGACACATCCTTGTGGGGGCAAACACACACATATACACTTGGACACTAGATAATCAGACATCCATGTGATCATATACACACACACACACACACAGTCGCAAACACTCACATCCTCCCACCGGCACATGTGGACAGGCACGGCCAGGCCCTCAGTCTAGACAAGAGGCAGAGAAGAAGGGGAGAGAAGACAGAGGCAGAGAGGAAGGGAGTAGAAGGAGAGATTTACTGGATGTACTTACCCCGTTTCTGGAGCCATCCCTCTCTAACGATGGTGACATCGCTCATGGTTCCTTCACGCCGAGTCTGATGCCGCTACACGCCTGCTCCACAGAGAGAGAGAGGGAGGAGGGGAGGAGAGGAGGAGAGAAGAGAAAGAGAGGGAGAGGAGGAGGAGGGGGGTGGCCGGCTCTCCCAGCCTCCGCGTCACTCTCCCTCCCTTCCTCTCTCGTTCACCCTCTTGTTCGAGCAGTCTCTCTCTCAGACACACACACGCACACAAATGCGGTATGTGTACGTGTGTCGTTTTGCTTCCTGTTGTGGCTTATCTCTCTGCCTCGCTCCCGTCTTCTTTTTCTTCCCCCTCCTCCTCCACCTCTCTCTTGCCCGCTCCAGACCTTCCGCCTCACCAGCAATGAGTCAGCCTGGAAGGAAGTGAATGGAGGAGAAAAAAGAAGGCATGGGTTTGTTTTTGTCCTCCTCTGCTGCTCCCTCTCTTCCCCTCCAAGGCTCTTTCAAACAGTCTGACAAGACAAACAACTAGTTATTGTGAGGACAAATGCTCCCTCCACTCTCCCCCCACCCTACACCCAGTTCCTCTTTCTATTGCTAACACTCTCACTGGTAAACAGGATGAATTATTGCAGAGCTCTTGATGAAGCAAAAACTGACCTTGATTACCAAACAAATGTCCCATAGTTCTACCTCTGATTCATTCATGGATCTTATTTGTTGTGGTGAGCAGGTTGCACTTTGTGCAGCAGCCAGTCTACCATCCTGTCTTCGCCATATTTCAGCATGCCAAATTATTTTGTTAATGTGTGTGTAGGTTCACAAGTCTGTCTGTCGGTCTGTGGGGGGTGGGAGAGCATCTCAGGACTGTGGAGCAGGGCTTGGCTATAAATAGTATCAACAGCAGTTAGGGATGCTCTCACACGATCTTTCCTGCACCTCTCCGTCATCTCACTCCCACTCTTGCTCCCCTCTCTCTCTGCATAGCTGCCGTGTTCACCTCAAATGCACCCTACTACACTATATTACACAACATGCAACAACACTACGCTGCTCAGCTTGAATGAAGATCAGCACTACAGGGGCTAGGCTAGCAGTCACAGTTATCTAGCTGGAAATTAGTATTCAGATCAGATACTGTCTACACTGCTGCAGACACTTGGAAGGACTGCAGCGTCATAACGAAGGCTGGAACAGACATGTGCATGCAAACACACATAACGCAGTAGGTGGCACAGAGATTTTTTTTTACGTTGAGGCAGCAGAGCAGTGGCCAATAACCAGACGAACAAATGCAGACCAGTGCTGGACTGTATTTATGCTATTTGTTACAATTAGATATAAAGATAAGCATTCGTCGTTTCCTGCTTCTTGTTATGTGCCGGACAAGCAAAATATTAAGGTGCAGATAACAATACTTGAATATTCTATTAGCTATGATTTAGAAAAAGATTCAAATGATACCTACATGTAGCCTTATAACTAGCATGTCCTTGATTGCACTTAGTGGAGGAGAGGAGGGGAGCAGAATGTCCATACAGTGGCAACCCCTTGTCACAAGGGTGGTTGTTATGGAGACATGGTGAACCAACAAAGACAGGGAAACACCTGCCAGGCCACCTTTATTTCACAATATTTAATGCCACAGGGAACAACAAAGAAAACAAAACGGCAGGGGAGACAGTGAGAAGGAATCACAGGAAATAGAGAAAGACATTCAGAGAAAGAGACAGAGAATAATGGAAGGAGAAGGCAGGGACCAGACAGTCAGATACCCCACCATTAAATAGTCAAGATGCATCAAGCAACACTGCAAGGTAATAGAGATGCAAACTGTGGGGTCCAGTGGTTCAGGAAGTATTTTCCCTCTATTCTGCATTCCCATTCCAGTTTTTCTTCGAATGATATCCTCAATCTTACTGAACACAGAAACGTAAGACACACCCGGTTAACATAACGATCCAGCAGGTTTATCAGTGGCCATCAGTTCTGATTATTTCAGTCTGAAAACAGAGATCACATTTCTCTAATTCTGACATGGTGCACAGGTCAAAATACCCATGAGCCTTGGCCACCTGTTGCCATTTACCCAGGTTTTAAAAGTGAATTGTTTCAAGCTGCAAATTGTGTTTTCCATTATCTCAACACCATTATTGTTTTTGCCCACAGTTAGCAGATTTTAAGCTTGTTGACTCAATGCTCCCTGCCAGCAGGCATCCTGGGATTCATAGTAAACACCAACCTCTAAGTTTTTATCTATACAACCCTGTACCTTCCGCTTCTTAAGTCAAAAAAAAAAAAATCCTAATGCAGTAATCTTTTCTTCTGATGATTTAACTGGGAGTGTTTCGTGCCAATCAAAGCCGTAGAACTGCTCCCAATATGAGTCACATAACATTATCTGTGGGAAAAAATAGATGGGACTTTACTTCCATGACAAGAAATGAATCAATGAAACCACAATGTTTTAGACTAAGAAGTTCCAACCACTCTCCAAGTGGTAATATTCATAGATAGTGTTGGAAAAAGACAGCGTGTTCCTGTCAGGAAGGCACGCCTCACCTCACTTAACCTCTCCTCACCTCAAACTGTGGCCTCAGACAAACCCTAGCTGGCATCAGCAGCTGTGAGTGCACATCCTCCTCCTACAAGGCAGGCCAGCCTTCAGCA